GAGAGAGAGAGAGAGAGAGAGAGAGAGAGAGAGAGAGAGAGAGAGAGGACCTCTGTAATTTAAGTCATCCTCGATTTCACATTTCAAATTAGCCTCACAATAAAGTCTTCTATCTGGCTAACCTGAAAATCTCACACCCCTGTCAAAGGAGCAGAGCAGACCGGCCGATTGTTGCTAGGACGACTATCTGAAATGGGAATCAGATTAACCCTTCCTTAGATCTCCAGACTGGAGCCATCTCTTATTCAGCAGCGAGAGGCCTCTCCGCCGTCCCTCTGAGCCTCTGGGAATTCATGATATTCCAGCTGCTCTCAATAGGAACCAATGGGGACAAAAAAATACCACCTTAACTAGACGCCTTCCCATTGTTAGAAATGTGTTCAAAATTATTGCAGCAATCTGGATTAATCCTTTAGCTGCTGCTGAGATAGAAATATGTGTAAATATATGTGCTTTAATCGTGATTCGCCACTATTTTCCTTTACTTCCCTTTTGTTGGCAAACAGAGCCAGCAGCAAACCCCATGACCGTTTCCCGGTACAGATTTACATAATGCATCGATCGCGACAATGGTGGCCCGCATGTACCAGACGTCACGCAGACAAAGAAATGCAGAAGGAGCAACTGAACACTACATATTTTGGATTAAGACGCAGCGGCGTCTGCGGGAAGGGGGAGGAGCCAAATGAAAATGAAAAAAAATAACATTTGCAGGGGTCTGGATGGGTTTGGCCTGAGTGGCCGAGGCCTGACAGGCAGAACATTTAGATTTCCCCGGGAGAGAGGGAGGCGCACGATGAACAAACTGCTCTTAACACATCACACCAGCAGAGGATGTGATGTATGGAAGCTCATTCCTGTCCAAAACAATATGCTGACCCCTGTTGGATAATAAATATGTCACCTACAAAAAAAAATCTTAGTTAATATTGCATGTTTATTTGAGGTATTTTGAACAAATATTCAAAAAGAGAGATATTATAGGACAAATAAGTATTTGTTTTGTTTACGGAGGTACACAGTGTTTAGCATCAGTTTACACACTATCATTCCTGTCAGAGCCGGTATAAAAAGCTTCCCGTCTGTGCAGTGTGTTATGGTTTATCCACCCTCTGCCTTCACTCCAGTGGTTTCAATACCCTGCCGGTGTTTTTTATTATTGTTTTTTTTTTCTTCTCCTCCCTGAGCCCTGTTACCGTTCCCCGTGTAAGAGATACAGTGACCGAAACAGTGTAGTCAGCGAGGAAGTGATTACAAACTGATGCTCCAAATTCGCTATAAAATGAAAATCAATATTTCCACAAGTTGCTGCAACATAAAAGATAACCTTCATTGATTTTTTTTTTTCTCGACTTAGGCCTCTGTGATAAGATCTAATATAAATTTTCAGCCACATGGATTTGGATCAGAGCGGAGCAGAGGCTGAGCGATAAGTTCCGCGCACATTTCTCAGAGTTGGATTCTTTTTTTTTTTTTTGCCTCAATCCCTCCCCCTCACCCCTCTTCCAAGGCAGGGCTGTACTATTTATAATTGGCCCTGTGTGAGCAAAAGCTTCTATCAGGAATCTGTTCTAATTTTTATTACTGAGAAGCTAAAGCCTGTTCCAGATAATTTGGAAATTTCAGGGGAATTGTGATAGAGCTGATGGCACAGCCGGACTGACTCCAGAAAGGAGCTAACCTGTAATAGCCTCTGTGGCTGCGCTGATTAAATGTTGCCATAGATGAAAGACCTGCCATCACCGCAATAAATTAACCAATCACACAAATCCCAAGTCGCTACTAATCCCTCCTTGATACCATGATCCTCTGATCAGCTGAAGGAGGTGAAGAAGAAAGTGGCTTGTGACACTCAGCCTTCCTCTAACTCCCTGCTTCCCTGTGTAAACAACAAGCTAATGATATCGCCGCTGACCATTTCACCACCACTGGCTACTCTTAACCCGGTTCATGGTCAGGGCAGGTGAAATCGATACAAACCTTGGTGGGAATGATTATTTTCCCCCATGGCTTTTTTTTCTTTCCCTCCCTCGACCAAGGTCACTGACTGGCACTGTATCCGTCTTGATCCCACAGCTGCAGGATTTAGACAACTGAGAGATCAAAACCGCTCCGTCTGAATATCTCGACACATTCATTGGCTTCACATGCCGTGCTTTCAACACCCACTCGGTGTCAAGTAGTGCCATTTAAAAAAAATAAAAAAATAAAGCAAAAACACCAGGCAAATAACGCCATTAACATCTCTCGGATAAAGAATAAAACGCTTTATCAATTCTTAATTTGACTTGAATCCCTGATAGATATACATGAAACATATTAACGCAATGCAACATAACGCAATGTCCAAAATTGATCACAGTTTCACGGTGCGACCCTGTCTCCAACTAAATGACACTCCCATACAGATGAAATAAACTTCAAGACTTAAACTCAAACTGCACTCTCCATTACGTTTCGAGGTAAACGTATTTTCTCCGGGATTACGGTCGCAGTTACGAACAGTTTGAAACGCGTGGTTATTGCTGTAAATTGTAACAAAACTAAAAAATAAAACGCTGCAAAACTGCTTGGTTAGATTGAGCCAAATAAATCATGTTTTGGATTAAAACAAAACCAAAGAATAACGCAACAAAAATACTTGGCTATGTTTAGGCTACAAGAGCGCTTGACATGGGACAACGACAGTCTCCTGGGTTGAAAAACATGACCCTTCCTCCTCCCTATGCGGACTTCAGAAGACTCATTTTAAACTTATTTTAAAGCAAACATAATCCACGACAAAATAGGTTTCCCCTCGAATTGTAATTCACAAGTTTTGTTGTATAGGAATGTCATTTTCAGGAGCGCCATGTCCTTTTTCAGAGGCTACTAGCAGCATAATAAATAAAAAAAAGCAAGCTTATGTATGGGTTATGTCAAGTTTATATGTTCTCTGTTTCTAACATGGGAGGGAGGATAAAGGATTTGTACCTGTTCTACCAGTCAGTTTACAGCAGACAGCACACTCACACCTTGATAACGTCCATTGCAATTAGTTGTTCACTGCGATGAAACAAATTGCATGTGGTCAACTGGAAATTTCATTAAGGGAGATTTTCCTCTAGCCCTCGTTATCGCTCTGCGTATTAATATTTTCTTAGCCTCAAGGATGGATGGGTTGCAAGGGTCTTTATTTATTTTAAATTTTTTTTGTTGAGTAAAAAACACTCTGTGTTCTCCCACCGCTGTATCCATGCCGGGTGAACAGAAAGCTGTGCATAGTGCTTAGTTAGGGCTGCTGCATGTT